TTTTATAAGGATTTATCTTAAAATTTTTTCTTTTTAAAGGATATTATTTTAATTGTACCGTATTATTTGAATAATTTGTTAGTAGCATTATATTTTGAATTAACGTTGAGATGCCAAATATTATTTAATAATTATAACTTTTCAACATGTACTCGAATGCCACTTATCAAGTGACGAACATGTGCCCAAATATAATAAATAAATTAATCAATTTTAAATTTGTATTTTAATATTCTTGGAAAATGCAGTAGGTCTTATTGACTGTATTTATTGAATATTAATAATAATTTATCAAGTAGTATAAATAATGTGGGCATTGTAAATTCTATATTTTAGTGCTCTTCAGTACAGTTTAGTTTGTACTTTTAAAAATGAACTGACCAAGGTACATTAGTTTCTCGCACTACTATTGATTCTCAAATTTCACAGTTTATTTTCTTCGTTTTTGCGCAATTATTCTTGTTCGTGTTTTAGTGAAGATATTGATATCTGACACGCGTAGAGTTAAAAGCTATATTGTACGAAGGGTGATTATAGGGTGAGAAACTGAGAGAAAACAGACTAGGGTATTCAAAATTAGCGTATATCGAGTCTCTTGGAGAAATGTTTGATACTCCTAGATATATAAATTCCTAAATATATAAAATTACATTGCGTCGTTTAATAGGATAAATACAATGTTAATAATTGTTGTTATTATTTATACATTTGAATCATGTAATAATATGTAATAATTGTGCTTTAAAATGGTTAATATGTTCAACCCACTCTTATGATTTTTTACAATTTCTTTTTAAGAGACAAATTTACTTATATTTATTTAAGCAACTGTATTCTCGTGGTTTTAAGTTTTCTCGTTAAGTCTGTATAAAATTCTTTTAATTAATTACTAAATTCAGTATATTAAGTTAATAATTAAGAGTAATAATTAGTGATGTTAATGAACAACGATTGAATTATCTTTGAAAATATTTTTAAATAATAAAGAAATAATTTGTATAATAATAAAATATGATTTATATAGTTAATTCAAATAAGTTTTCATATAAGAAAATGATTATTATTTAAGAATAACAAATGTACAAAACAGTTGATTACGTATTTATAGTTTCAGCAGATTTGTAGTTTACAAGGATTGATAAATAATATATTTATAAATTATCAAACCAGTTTATTGTTAATACAATTTTTCAATATAAATTTAGATGAAATCTTTACATATTCCATAATATAATGTATATAGGCTCAAATGAATTTTTTAAATTTAATTTAATTTTTTAATTTAATTTTAATTTAATAAAAGAATAAAAAAATCCATAAGTTTAAGTGAATATTTCAGATTAAAAAATTGTCACGCGATTAATATACTAAATGATATTTACTATAAATGTCGACTTGTATCTAATTATGCATGGAATAATGTTAGGAATAAAATTGCAAATTAATGTAATGTTTACTATGTAATATGTATACACATGATACAGATGTAAGTTACCTCTATTCGAATAGAAAGGATATTTAATAAATATATATAATTATAATATATAATTAATATATAATATAGAAATAATATATAGAAATAATATATAATTACCTACCTATCACTTAAATATTGAATGGCAGTTGTAAAGTGTAACAAATTTTGATTCTTTTCATTTTTATTTTAAAAACTCCAGAATATGTTCATACAACGGTACACTTAGAATATACTAATTCGTATTTTAATAGTTTTTAAAAATCAAGACTGATAACCTACTACAACGGGGGTTTCTTTTTTATTTGAAAATGAATAAGTCTTTAAGAAATTATTATTATAAGAGGTATTGATATATTCATGAGTACTGTTAATTATAATTCCAAGTGTCATATTTATTACTACAATGTCAAAGTAATAAGACACGCTTGGGAAAAAAAAAAAATTATGTTCGACCTGCTTTGTTATATTATATTTTGTACATTGTTCTTTTTCTTTGGATTATAATCATTGAAGTTTAAATTTTCTTGAGCGTAGTATCGTTAATGATAACATATAGAACTCTTACAGTTAATACCATAAATATGTAGCTACGCCTATTTATGATTAATTTCATTAATCTTGTAATTATTTATGATCTGAATATAATGTCAGCAGATAAAATATTTCTATTATATTCATTTAAAAAAGCAATTGTTACTTTATTGATATAAAATGATTATAGAAAGAAAAATTTGATTAAACAATTTTTAATTTATTTACTATTTAAGGTTATTTAATAATATATTATTGAGAATTAGGATTATGCGTATTTTTAAGATCTTACATCATTTTATAGTATAGTATTTTTCAAATATATGAAAAATTTTCTCTAAAGCATTTTGTTTTAGATAAGTAACTCTAAAATATAATATTATTTACCTAATGTTGTATTTAACATTATTTCTATATAATATGAAAATGTTATTTTAAACGTTTTTTAAAAAATGTGATGGATCTTGGAAGAAATATTTATTTGAAATCCATTTTTTCACAGAAGTTGTATTACACACAACACACACACACACACACATCTATATACGTGTTTATTTATTTATATTTTATATATTTATACATATACATTTATTACATTATTTTTTTATAAATATTATTCATACATTTATAAAATACAGCAAATTTTATGTAAAATTAATATATAAACCGTGTAATTGATAAATAATATTACAATTCGGAAAAATACTAACAAAACAATATGAGCATAAAATGGTACGATTATCAAATTAATTTATTTTCTTGAATTTTCTTCTTTATTTAAATGAATTAATTTTTTTTTAAGTAAATAATACAATAAAATAAGTAAATAAAGATTCTTTTTTTTCTTTTTTTTGATAGATACAATATAAATATCTCAAGAGATATGAGGCGAATGATTAAACATAAATTTTTTTTTAAATTCACATAAAGTATTATTGAAATGCTACATTCTAGTTTCATTAGAATATTCTAATATAAGTTTATAAAAATAAGATAAATTTCATAAGTTTCATAATATGTATATATTATTATATATTAAATTTTTTTCGGATGTAACGATTTAGCTTATTTCATTAAATAAATTTATCTTCGTATTTATTTCCATTTTGAATAAAAGCGATAAAATTCGTACATTTTCTTCACAAAATTGAAATTTTGAAGAAGTTTAGTAATGTTAAATTTTTAACAATACAAGTGAAAACTAAAGGCTAATTTATACAAAAGAAAAATTTCAATGTAACTGAAAAGTTATCGCAAAATAAATTTTATATAATGTAAAAGGAGCGAAGAAAGTGAATAGGAAAAGAAGTATTTATGGAGCGATTTAATTTTTTAAACATAAAAATAACTTCATTGCTGTTTAAGATAGATGCTCGGTTATATGGATGTGGTTCCGTATTTTGCGAAACATAAGACGAGAAGTAAAATTCATTATTATATATTATAGAAACGTTATTCGCTTAAAGTATCTTTGTACATCCATTTTACGTTCTTTTAACGGCTTCACTCACGATATTATTAAATTGCAATTTTTTTTTACTATTGATACTTATAAATCATTCCCTCAATTTTTAACAAACATTATTTATTTGAAAAAGTTCATTATTAATATTAGTTTTCAACTTATTTCTGTCATTATTTTGAAAATTATGCCATTTATATAAATATAGATTAATTTCCTCTATTGAATTAAATAAAAATATATGTATTTAATTCAGATACAAATATTAAGAAAGTCTCTCAGATGTTGTTTTAAACGAATCAAACATTTTATGAATATTTTTTAAATCTATATGGATATGTATTCTTAACTGCCTAGTAGATATTATCACAAGTTTACATGTATTGGAATATGTTAGATATATTAAATTATAATTATCAAGATCTGATTTTCTATTCATGACACAAAAGGTATATTAATACGTCAATTTTTGTTGATAAAAATTTATTAACTTGTCAAGTATATTCTAAAAGATAGGATTTTTCTACTCTTGATTTCATTACATGATATCTGATTATCTCGATCCGGAAGTAAACGTTCTAGCATATTATCGATGTTTTGCGTTTATTAATACTCTGTCATTTTTATTCCTAGATGAAATTAATTGTCGGAAATAAATAGAATGTGCATAGCTTAACGCACAGACTTTGCTTCCTTTTTGCACAGATACTGGCCTCAGTATAAACACGCGCGCGCGCGGACACACCCCATCCACCCAGCCCTCACTCACAGAAGAAACATCAGGAGGATACACAATATTTTATTAGAAAATTTATTTCACTATTAACTCACACATGAAAATTCATCGTGCGTGTTTGCAAACATATAAAATGTACTTTGTACTTTTGACGTTTAACGAATGATATACGAGTTCATTAATGGTTATAGTATAGTTTCGTGATTAATAGCTTGAAAATGTTGACAGATATGCGTTTCTTGATTGATGTCTATCGCTTGCTTTGTTAGTGTGATGAGCAAATAAATATGCAATAGCAGATAAAGTGATTTTACATTACGGTGAAACAAAAAACTTTAAGTCTAATATTTAAAAAATGAATTTATAATATATATTTTGGTAATTATCTTAGCCTATATATATATATATATATATATATATATATATATTATTTTTTACTTTTAAATTCAAAGAATTTCTTTCTGAATCTACGAGATTTATATTTAATGCATACAGATGAAGAAGAGAAGAAAATCCAAATTTTATGAAGATCATAACATATAATTTTATTTTTCGTGATCCCCCTTCCTATTAGTCGAGTGATACTGTCAGTTTCTAACTTCCGGGTAGATAATAATTTTTCCTCTCCATTCTGATACATATCTTACCCACTTTTTCTGAAACAAATAAATCGATCAACGTAACATGTAAATAAAAATAATAAATCATCTTGTTCGATTATTACAGCGTAATTGTTACGAACATACATGTTTATATAAATGAAAAAATAATGATTCTATATTATTTTATAATAGCAACATGAAGCTGGATTTCATGGATAGGGAGAAGGGCTTGGAATTGTTGGGAAAGTTCATACGTACAAAGAATGTTGAAAATCTTCAAGGCGAACATACAAGAGCTGGCTCAGAACAGATTTATTCGACCGGCTCAAAACAGAAACTACAGGTAATACATATTTTACGTGTTTAATCTTGCTTCCTTCCTCCCCCCCCCCCCCCCCCCCCCCCC